CACGCATACACACACATATGTGTATACATGTGTTTATAAATATATTTGTGTGTGTGTGCAAGCAAGCAAGCAAGCAAGCAAGCAAGCAAGCAAGCAAGCAAGCAAGCAAGCAAGCAAGCAAGCAAGCACGCAAGCACGCAAGCACGCAAGCACGCAAGCAAGCAAGCAAGCAAGCAAGCAAGCAAGCAAGCAAGCAAGCAAGCAAGCAAGCAATAAGTAAGTAAGTAGGTAAGTAAGTAAGTAAGTAAGTAAGTAGGTAAGTAAGTAAGTAAGTAAGTAAGTAAGTAAGCGAGCAAGTAGGTAGGTCAGTCCGTAGGTAGGTTGGGTGCATGTATGCAAGAAGTATATACCTGTATACACTCAGTCTGTCTATGTATATATACATATACATATATGTATGTACACATCTGATCGTACCTCGGCGGCCAACTCCTTCACCGCCGGCTGCTTGTCGCGGAGCCCTGGGAAGCACGCTCGCAAGCTTTCTTTCGTTTGGGTGCGCCTTGGTTAGGGTTTAGCGTTTAGGGTGTCGGTTTAGGGTTTAGGGTTTGGGGTTTAGGGTTTAGGGTGTCGGTTTAGGGTTTTTTTCCTCCTACACGGTTTAGGGTTTCGGGCCATGTTGGGCTTCACCACCTTCGTGGTTTGCAACTAAGCAAAACCCATGGCGCCTCCAAAAAACACAATTGTCCGGTCCAGCTCAATAGCCCTTCTCCAATTAGTTCAGGACGTCGGGCTACAGGTCCGGAGATATTGCCCAGCCTATACCTTATAACCCTACTTCAACTCGCCCTGAAGCTGTAAAGCTTGAAGACCCTGAACCCTGCGCTTACCGTCACGGCCTGTCTATAATGGGGCTCGACATTACGCAGCCCCTTTTCTTCAAACCCGAACTGCGACATGCCTGCAGCCAGACATGTTCCTCAACCTCTTAACTATGATAAGGATTGCTATAAGGCTTACCTTCAGGGCTACTATAAAGCTCCCATGGAGGTCAGCCGCCCTTGTGACGCGGAAGCTAGAGAGAACCTCAACTACTCACCTATTTACTAACGTTCAACGTCCCCCACCCAGGAGTCCTTCAAAACCGAAGCGTCAGTCCGGAAACGCACAACTCCTAAACTCTTCAAAAACCCAGTCAAGAAAAAAAATTGAACAAACCTTAAGAAGAAACACTATAGAAACCCCGTTAACCCTTTGAAAGCACTACAACTAACCCAATAGAATCCTGACACATGCCTACAACCGTCACTAAGGGCGGTCTTGGTAACCAAGGTTATACGTACCTTAAATGGGGTCATAAATGTTTGAAAATACAATTACCCTGATAACAACCCCACTTTCTAAGCAAGTCCCATGACCCATGAAGTATCCTTAAAACGTCCTTACAGAACCCTTCTAAGATCCCTTTGAAAGGCCCTTTCAGGAACCCTTTAAGTTACTAAGATCCTAAACCTCTTTATCATATATTAGTTTAAACTTTAATGACTTCGTGGTTCAAGGCAAATAATTCGTGGTTCAAGGCAAATGTTTTGGTACACTCCTCGATTTGTTCAAGGCAAATACTTCGTGGTTCAAGGCAAATAATTCGTGGTCCAAGACAAATTCGCCAAATTTGCCGTGAACCAAGAATTATTTGCCTTGAACCACGAATTATTTGCCTTGCTTCGTGGTTCCACGAAAGGCTTGCCTTAAACCACGAAGGGTTGGCAGGCCAATAATTCGTGGTTCAAGGCAAATAATTCGTGGTTCAAGGCAAATAATTCGTGGTTCAAGGCACATAATTCGTGGTTTAAGGCAAATTTTGCCTTGAACCACGAATTATTGGCCCTTCGAGTCCAGCCCAGCCCAGCCGCCCAAGGTTGAGCACGACAACTAGGACTAACAAAATGGTGCTTTTTTTCTTGGCATTGCTTGCTGGCTTCTTGTTTCTTTATGGGTTGAGCGAACGCAAAACGAAAAGCATTAAACAATTATGCCTGTGCAATCTCGCTTTGTTTTAAAGAAAGAAACCTCCCTACAGGTTTTGTTTTCCTTTTTTTGTTGCTTTAGGGCTGATATAAGACAGAGTAACCAATAACAGAATAGAAACCAACTGCGAATGGAACTCATTTATGTGAATCCAGGGTGGGTGGGAGTTATGTCTGAATCGTGAATGTAACTTTATTCTGAAACTGCTCGCTCCGGAGCTGCTGAACTCTAAACCTTGAGGAGGGCCAGGGGCGGTCTGCAACGCCGCGCACGCGAGGGGAGTCGGGTCCCATGGGCGCCAGATGTCGCAGGGCCAGCAGCCGCACCTCTGAGTGTAGGGTTTAGGGGTTTCAGGTTTGAAGTATAGGGTTTAGGAATTTAGGGTTTAGGGATTTAGGGCTTAGGCATTTAGGGTTTAGGGTACAGGGTTTAGGGGTTTAGGGATTAGGGGTTTAGGGTTTAGGGTTTCGGGTTTAGGGTTTAAGGTACAGGGTACAGGGTTGAGGGATTTAGGGATTTGGGGTTTAAGGATTTAAGGTACAGGGTTTAGGGTTTAGGGATTTAGGGTTTAGGGATTTCGGGTTTAGGGATTTAGGGCTTAGGCATTTAGGGTTTAGGGATTTAGGACTTAGGCATTTAGGGCTTAGGGTACAGGGTTTAGGGGTTTAGGGATTAAGGGTTTAGGGTTTAGGGTTTAGGGTTTAGGGTACAGGGTTGAGGGATTTAGGGATTTGGGGTTTAGGGATTCAAGGTACAGGGTTTAGGGTTTAGGGATTTAGGGTTTAGGGATTTCGGGTTTAGGGATTTAGGGCTTAGGCATTTAGGGTTTAGGGTTTTAGGGTACTGGGTACAGGGTTTAGGGTTTAGGGTTTAGGGGGTACAGGGTACAGGGTTTAGGTTTAGGGATTTAGGGTTTAAGGTACAGGGTACAGGGTTTAGGGTTTACGGTACAGAGTTTAGGGTTCAGGGTCTCTCTCTCTGTCTCTCTCTCTCTCTCTCTCTATCTCTGTTCTGTTCTCCGGGGCATAGGGTGCGTGTCAAGCACCCCGCGCCGGATGGCGCACCCCTGTGTTAGGGGCCTTGTGGTGGCCTTCAAGAAGTCTCTCTATCTCTCTCTCTCTCTCTCTCTCTCTCTCGGGGTCGAAGGTGTTAAGGTTTCCTGCACGGTTTAGGCTTTCGGGTGGGGTTTGGGTCACCTCTCTCTCTCTCTCTCTCTCAGTTTTTTATCATTGAAGGAATCCTTTTCAGGAACTCCGAAACGAACCCCAAAATAGTATCGGTAATTATTTTGGCCCTGATGGTCTGACAGGTCTGGGTTGAGGGTGCTCTTCTAGGACTTAGGATTGGGGGAATTCTAGGGGATATAGACCCTCTCCATAAGGTCCCTTTTTTTAAGAGAGCCATAAGTGGATTCAAGAAGGGTGTCTCCCTAATACTACCTAGGATCTTCCCGACTTTCATTGTAAGCGCTTCCCTAAACCCTAAACCCTAAACCCTAAACCCTAAACCCTAAACCGTGCTTTACTGTACAGGGCCTCAGGGATTTAGGGCTTCAGTGGCTCGGGGGTTGTCGACTTTCAGGGGCCCATGGCTTTCGGGTTTAAGGCTTGCGGTTTAGGGCTTAGGTCTATAAGGGTTCAGGGTTTAGGATTCAGGGTTTAATGCTTAAGGCTTAAGGGTGTTAGGGCTTAGCTCTATGAGGGTTCAGGGTTTAGGGTTCAGGGTTTCATGCTTAAGGGTTTTAGGGTTTAGGGGTCGGGGCTTAGTCAAGGAGGTCACAAGTAAGGCTACTCAACACATGTTGCGCGGGAATCAAAGGTCAGGGCCCTCAACTTGAACTCATTAAACTTTAGACCCTGACCCCAAAGCCCTGACCAACAAGCCTGCTAGGACTGAATCCATGGCTGGGGAAGCCATTTCTCTGTCTCTCTCGCTCGAACGCTCTCTCTCGCTCTCTCTCTCCCAGGGTTGAGGGCTTACGGTTTAGGGTCTCTCTCTGCGTTGTGTTCTCAAGAATTTCTGCCAAAAGCATCCCACTTCGGTTCGGACCGGGTGCAGGTGGGCTAGGGTGCGGCTGCGCCAGGGACTAGAGCGTAGGGCTTCAAATTTCTGAGAGAGAGAGAGAATTTAAAGTGTAGGATTTAGGGTTCAGGCAAGAATGCAGAGAAACACGCCAACAACAAAGAGGTCTTTGCACGCAAGAACAATGAAACCTCAAAAAAAAATCACTAGCACTGTACATGCCCGGAATATAGGAGCCTCAACAAGAAGCAGGTGCATTCCTGTACTCTCATGTCCCTTCTGTACTTACTAGAGCGTGCTCAAAACGACTGTGGCCGCAAAGGACTAAAATCCTCTGTTGCAGCTGGGAGACGGCACTGAATTTCAGAAAAAAACCAAGCCGCCTAATATAGGGGCCTGAATACTCAAAACAAGGTTTTGGGCCCATTATACTATATTTACAATAAGGATCCTCCAAACTAAAATTCCTAATTACGTAGGCCCCTAGATTGAAATCCCTGCATCCTGAAACCTCAACCCACAACCCACCTTGAACCCTGAACATCTCTCCTGCAGAGGCCTAAGGAATTGCCTATATTATTCTTTCGGGTTCCTCGTTATTAGAGGTATACTAATTATAAAGGACCCCAGAACCCTATCCTATTCAGTAAGGCCCCTATATTAAACCCTGAGCGCTCGCGACCTTCATTCCCAGCTTTGGCCGGCCTCGACCGACTGGTCTAAGAGGCTGAGCAGCAAAATGTCCGCCAAGTGTGCCTGCAGCTCCTTCCGCCGAGAATTAGGAGCTGTTTGCCACCCTAAATCCAAACCCTAAACCCTAAACCCCAACATTTCATGATGCTCGTCAGTAGGACCGTAGGACCAAGGTTCCGGGCTTGGGAGCTTGGGGATCAACACTTCGGACTTGGGGTCCAGAGTTTAGAGCTTACGGGGTTTAGGGTTTAGGGATGTTTAGGGTTTAGAGCTTAGGGATTTTTTTTCGAGGGTTGAAGGCTTACGTCTTAGGGTGTAGGTGTAGTTAGGAGCTAAGTAAAAGTTCATCGCTATTTTTTGGGAAGTCGGTAAGCCACGGCGGAGGCTTCAGGTGGTTCCAAGTCGCTCTCTTGGGTTTCGGCGCTCACACTTCGACAAGCCGGTGTCCTGTACAGGCCTTGATAATTTGAATTATGCTATAAGTCCTTAACCCTAAACCCTAAACCCTAAACCCTAAACCCTAAACCCTTATATAAGGGGATCTCACTAACTACACTTAGTCACCATACTATCCCGAGCGCTGGGTTTCGGATTAGCTTTGTGTTTGCCCTGGGCAGGTCACCTTTTTTTGTCGGTCGAAGTGTATAGTGTATGGTTGAACTGTCTTCTCTGCCACCAAAGACAGCCAATCGTTTCGATGTTGCTCTCTGAAGCCACCGCCGTTTCGCCCGCTCCACGTGGGCCGAGAGAACTCATTGCCCTCACGACGGCGTCCGAGACGACGCCGCGGGCTCATCCTTGCTTACTTTCACTTGACGAGGATGGGTACAGTTCACGAAGCTGGCCTGGGTCGATTCCTCGAAGATTCAGTTGCAAAAGCCCACGATTCTGCGGATGAAACTTGCACGGGATGGCACGTTGATCCAAGAATCTGTGCACTGAAACCTGGAGGTCTGAGCCAGCAGGTTGCCAAGGCATGCGGGATTTCCCCCAGCCTGTGATGACTGCGAA